CTTTCTTTTTCTTTCTCTTTCTTTCCTTCCTTCCTTCCTTCCTCCCTCCGTCCCTCCCTCCCTCCCTCCTTCCCTCCCTCCTTCCTTTCATCCTTCCTTCCTTCCTTTCTTCCTTTCCAGAAGTCATTACAAATTGTATCTCTTTTTTGTTTTGTTTTGGGGCTGTGGCAATTTCTTACAATAAGACCACAATGAAGTTTGCTACATTGATTGACTTTTCCTTTCACAAAAGAGTTCTCTGTCACATATGATGCTCTGATAATATTTTACCCAACAGTAGAACTTCTTTCAAAATTGGAGTCGATCCTCTTAATGTCTGCTGCTGCTTTATCAACTAAGTTTATAAAATATTCTAAATTCTTTGTTGTCATTTTAACAATATTCACCGCATCTTCACCAAGAGTAGATCCCATCTCAAGGAACCACTTCCTTTGCTCATCCATAAGGAACAAGTCCCCATCCATTCAAGTTGTATTATAAGATTGCAGCAATTCAGTCACATCTTCAGACTCCACTTCTAGCTCTAGTTCTTTTGTTATTTATTTCTACCATATCTGTAGTTACTTCCTCCACTGAAGTCTTGAACTGCTCAAAGCAGTTCAAGGTTGGAATTAACTTCTTCAAAACTCCTGTTAGTGTTGATATTTTGACCTCTTTCCATGAATCACAGATGTTCTTAATGACATCTAGAATGCTATAATTCTTTCCAGAAGGTTTTCAGCTTACTTTGCCCAGATCCATCAGAAGAATCATAACCTGTGGTAGGTATTGCCTTACCAAATGTACTTCTTATGTAAGATTTGAAAGTGAGAATTAATCCTTGATCTATAGGCTACAGAATGAATGTTGTTAGCAGGCATAAAAACAACATTAATCTCCATGTACATCTCCATCAGAGCTCTTGGGTGACCAGATGCATTACTAATGAACAGTAATATTTGGAAAGGAATTTTTTTGAGCAGTAGGTCTCAACAGTGGGTTTAAAATATCCATGCTGTAAACAGATGTGCTGTCATTCATTCTTTGTTGTTCTATTTATAAAGCACAGGCAGAGTAGATTTAGCATAATTCTTGAGTCCTTTGATTTTCAGAATGGTCAGTGAATGTTAGCTTCAACTTAAAATCACCATCTTCATTAACCCTAACAAGAAAATCAGTCTGCCCTTTGTCCTTTGAAGACAGGCATTGGCTTCTTTCTAGTCTAGATGGCATCGTCTTCCAATATAAGGCTGTTTCATGTACATTGAAAATCTATTGTTTAGCACAGCCACCTTTACCAATTATATTAGCTAGAGCTTCTGGATAGCTTGCTGCAGCTTCTGCATTAGCACTTGTTTCTTCACCTTGCACTCTAATGTTATGAGACAGCTTCTTTCTTCAAACCTCATAAACCAACCTCTGTTAGCATCAGACTTTTTTATGCAGCTTTCTCACTTCTTCCAGTCTTCATAGAATTGAAGAGAGTTAGGGTCTTTCTCTAGATTAGGCTTTGATTTAAGGGAATGTTGTAGCTGGTTTGATCCTCTATCTAGACCATTAAAACTCTGTATCAGCAATATGTCTGTTTCCCTTTCATTTCAGTAGCTAATGCAGCTGGTGACTTTTAGTGCAACTGGAGTAGCATTTTTAAGTTCCTTCAAGAAGTTTTCCATTGCATTCACAACTTGGCTAACTGTTTGGTTCAAGAGGCTTAGCTTTTGGCCAATCTCAGCTTTCAACACGCCATCCTCACTAAGCTTAATCGTTTCTAGCTTTTGATTTAAAGTGAGAGAGATACACCTCTTCCTTCCATTTGAACACTTAGAGGTCATTATAGGGTTATTAATTGTCCTCATTTCAATATTGTTGTATCTCATGAAAGAGATGCCTAAGGAGAGGGAGGAAGACAGGACAATAGGTGGTTGGTGAAGTAGTCAGAACACACACAACATTTATGGATTAAGTTTGCCATGTTATATGCATGTGGTTTGTGGTACACCAAATAATTACAACAGTAACATCAACAAATTAGCAAATATCACCGTAACAGATATAATAATGAAAAAGTTTGAAATGCTGTGAGAATTACCAAAATGTGACACAGACATGAAGTAAGCACATGCTGTTGGAAAAATAACCCTGATAGACTTGGTTGATGCAGGATTGCCACAAATCTTTTTATTGTTAAAAATAAATTGCAAAATCTGTGAAGTGTTATAAAATGAGGTATGCCTGTATAAAGTTTGGTACTATCTGTGATTGTAGGCATCCACTATGGGTCTTGGAACAAGTCCCCTGCGATAAGGGTGGACTACTGTAGTTTCTTTGTCCATGGAACAGAACTCCAATTTATCCACTACACAGTATAAAGGAAAGCTAGATATGTAAAATATTGTTTCTAAGGAATGAAACACGCTGAATCAAATAAAGCATAATGATCTATTTAACCTTGCTCTTAACTGAGGGGAAAAAACAAAACAGTATACAGAGTTAAAAAAAAATAAATGGAACATTAATATAGTTTATCTTGTCTGTTGTTTAACTGCCTATGAGATGCTAAGTTGAAATATTGTCTAACATTTTGCCAGTAGGGGAAAAAAAATAACAGCAGATGGGCCAAGCAGAAGGCAGTGCCAAATCATTTTGAATTCTTTTCTGTGTAGTTTTTTTTCCCCCAGTTTCATTACAGATATGACCGTGATTGATAATCCTACATCAGAAAACATATATCAGATATTCTTATAATTGTATTACACATGTGTTTCTTTTAGGGCCATTTCTATAAGCAAGCTACTATAATTAAAGTCGTTTCTAGACGGCATCCTTGAGGAGTGAAAGAATTATCTAAGAATAGTAAAAATGAAGAGCCTACTAACAGGAAGCTGCATACACGATTGCCACTGGCCTGTTTTTGATGTTAACTGATTTTACCCATGAAGATGCTTATTAGTTATCATGCACTCACTCTGATCTTGTTCAGTTTGTCATCAGGAGCTAAGTGGTATAACGGCAAAGGCAACAGATGTTGAGAATGACAAGCCAAATTACTCGAAACTCCGCCAACAATTTCCCTTCAAAAGTAAATGGTATGACTTTCTAATCTCCTGAATTCATTTCTTTCATAAGCAGTCTATGGGTTTCCATCTGTTTCCTGGACACAGATAACCTTACTTCCTGCCACACATGATAAGTCTACTCATCAGAGTTCAACCAGTACTCTTTTGTCATTGCAAATCACTTCTTCCAACTGCAACATTCTCAATCAGGACTGCAATTGAAAGACTGATAATGGTCCCACAGGAAATGTCCATCGTTTGGCAGGCCCACTTTGAATCCAAAGCTTTTGAATTGTGCACTGTCCAGCGTATTTTAAAAGTGTTTTCATAATTATATAAAAGTATGCTTATAAAATGTCTTCCTTCAACTTTTATATTGAGATACACTAGTTTATTAGTAATGAAAATTGGTTTATTCAAATAATAACATACTGGATTACTATTTCTTTTTTTTTTTTTTTTTTTTTAATTTATTTATTATTATTATACTTTAAGTTGTAGGGTACATGTGCATAACGTGCAGGTTTGTTACATATGTATACTTGTGCCATGTTGGTGTGCTGCACCCATCAACTCGTCATTTACATCAGGTATAACTCCCAATGCAATCCCTCCCCCCTCCCCCCTCCCCATGATAGGCCCCGGTGTGTAATGTTCCCCTTCCTGAGTCCAAGTGATCTCATTGTTCAGTTCCCACCTATGAGTGAGAACATGCGGTGTTTGGTTTTCTGTTCTTGTGATAGTTTGGATTACTATTTCTAAAATATATATTAACTCATATTGATTGCAACAACACTGTGATTATTATTCACTATTTACAGAGGAGGAAATCCAGATCTGGAGAGTTTATTTTTAAAATCTTATTGAGAATTTTCTGGGTGTTAGACAAGAAAGGCATGAAAGATACAGCTATGATAAAATCAACAAGGATTCTGTGCTCATGGGTCTTAAATCCAGTAAAGGAAACAGGATTTAAATATGTTATACTACTAACTATAACAAATGCTATGAAGAAAAGGGTGCAATCATAAATTATAACAGTATGGTATAATTTAGATTGTAAGGTGAGGAAAGCCTTCTCTGAGGAAGGGATTTTGAAGCTGAAATCACAAGGATGTTTGGGAGTTAACTGGGCAAAAAGTGAAAGAAAGAAAAAAAAAAAAAAAGAAAGAAGGCTAGGCATCATTTAGAAAGGTTTCAGGTGGGAGAGAGGCTAACCCATTCCAACAATGGATGAAGAGGGGAAAGTGACATTAGGCAAACCTAGGCAGGAAAACAGGGAATACATATAAGGTCATGTAAAGTACTACCCGACTTGCCCAATGTCACACAAATAGAAAGTGGCCTTGCTGAGACTAGGTGTTTCTTAATTTCTATTCTTCTGGTTTTACCACTCTGTTACTACATTGTCTTTTTACAAATAAGTGAACAAAGATAATCTCCTATTTTGAATTCATATTTTCAGATGATGACCTTTAAAAAACAACAATACAGTAGTGATTTATCAAAATTGATTGTTGGCTACATCAATATCTTAATAGTGGGTTGTTTATATTCATTACAGTAGTTAGAATTTTAGCTATACTAAGATTTATTGGAGAGACACGGAGCGTGGCCCGCTCCCCTAGGGCCTGGGGCCTTCGGCCGCGGGCTGGCAGGTGAGCTGGGTGGCACTCAGACACCTGAGGCCTCCGCTGTGGCTGCCCACTGGCCCGACCCAGGCCTTGAAGCCACGGTGAACCTCTCTTCCCCACCCCACCTCGATGACTGATCGGGGCCTCCCAGTCCAAGCCTGCCGGGCCCGCCAAGCCGCCGGGACGCAGCGCCTTTGGGTGGCGGCGGGAGTGGCAGGTCCAGAAGCACTGCGGCCGCCCAAACGCCGGGCGGTGGAAGCCGTTAGTGCGTGGAAGAACCGGAAGGCGGCCAAGGCAGCCTGGGGACGCAGGCAGGCTCGGCTGCCTCATCAGGCCACGGAGCCGCGTAGATCCGGATCCCGGGCGACTGCTCTGTCCCCATTGGGCGAGACCTACCTAGACAAAGGCCTGAACTATGGACAAAGGCCTTAAAGGGCCTGGGAGGTGAGCGAAGTCCGGAACAACGGGTGGAAGGTTGGGGGCCACGGGGCAGCTGGTCTTTCGTCTGCCAGATCTTGCAGTTGGAAGGGAGGAATGGTAGAATGACAGGTCACGTTTGGCCTGTTGGAAATGCCCACCATCATTTGGGAAGATTTACTGGCCATTTATGGAAGACCTGTGTATATAATATGAAAAACCTGCTCTCAACTCCACTCCAACCTTTTAATAGAAAACATTTGTCACATCTAGCCCTTCTAGATGGAAAGAGGTTCCTGACGTATGATAAAGTAGAGTTAGAAAATCACACATCTTGTAAATTCTCATTTGTTTAAAGGAAGTCGTAGAAAATAAATGTCTTCTGGTGATGACTTTTGGAAATGGAGTTGTTAGGCGGCCTCTGGAAATGGCACATCCATGTTTGTTCAGTGGGTTAGATGACATGGAGCCGGAGGACCCGAGAAGGAAGGGAAGGTTCTATGCCAGCCTGTTCATATTTAGAAGACATTTTCATATTCTATCCATTGTTTTGTATGCATTTTATTCCTCACTACTGTATATATAGTTGACGATGCTAAGCGTTTTTGAAATGTCTGTTTTTTTAAGATGTTCTGAAGTGCCTGATATATGTTAAAATTAGAGGTAATAAAATCACATTTTGTAAATATCTTTTTGTTACAATTCATGGAAAATGTTTTTTTGGTGGGGAATGGCCAAATCACCTGTTGAGTAATACTCATTGTGTTTGTGCACTGGTACAGGGGAGGAGGGAAGAGGGGGAACTGCAGAGAGCTCTATGCCACGCTGCTTACAGCGAGGCAAGATGAATCATCTCTTTCTGTGCATTTTGTTTTATCTGTGTATATAGTATACATAATGTACAAATGAGTCCTAATTTACAACATCTAGTCTTTCTAGATGTTAAAGAGGTTGCCAGTGTATGACAAAAGTGGAGTTAGTAAACTCATATATTTTGTACATTTTGTTTTACAAGTCATAGGAAAGATTGTCTCTGAAGATTTGAGCATTCTTGCCCACTGGGTTGATGGAGATAGGAAGGGTTCTAGGCCAGAATGTTCATATCTGGAAGCTTCTTTCAAATTATAACTGTTGTTACATGTTTGCAGTTTGTTCAAGACTGCTTTGTACATAGTGGACAAATAAACTCCTTACTTGAAACATCTAGTCTATCTAGATGTTTAAAAGTGCCCGATGTATGTTAAATGTAGAAGTAGTAAAATATCATTTTGTAAGTATCTTTTTGCTAAAATTAATAGGAAATACTGTCTTTTGAAAATTGAATCGTGAAGCCACCTTTGTGAGAAGTATAGTGCTGTCTATACTTGTTCAATGGTTTAGAGGAGGTAGGAGGGAAGAAATTGCAAAACGTAATATGCTAGTATGTTCATACTTGGACGTTTTCAGACACCATTTTTCTGTATGTTTTGGCATTTTGTTTTCCTCTGTATATAGTGTATATAAAGGACAAGTGAGTCCTAATTTTGCAGCATCTAGTCTATTCTCTAGATGTTAAAGAGGTTGCCAGTGTATGCCAAAGTATTTAGTAAAATTGGCATATTTTGTTTTTTTGTGTTGAAATTCATAGGAAAGCTTGTCTTCTGTGAATGACTTCTGCATAGAAATTTGTTCAACCGTCTCTAAGCATTACAAGTGCCTGCACTTGTCCACTGTATTAAAGTCAGAGAGAGAAGGAAGTGAGGAGGGAATGATTCAAGGCCAAAATGTTCACATTTAGAAGATACCTCAGATGCTAACCATTGTTACATGTGTGCAATTTTATTTAACAGTGCTGTGTACATGGTGAACAAGTTATATGAAATATCTAGTTTTTCTAGATATTTAGAAGTGCTTGATGTATTTAAAAGCAGTAGTAGAATAACACTTTTTGTAAACAGCTTTTAAAACTGATTGGAAATGCTGTTTGGAAGTGGAATTGTTGAACTACCTGGGAGATGAGAGGGAAGAAATTGCAAAAGGTGTTTTGCGATTGTTTATTAGAAAATTTCAGCTTAATCTATTGCCCATATGTTACATGCATTTCATTTAACTTTGCTATACTGTATATATTGTGTATATACTGGACAAATGAGTCCTGATTTTATAATATCTAGTCTCTAGATATTGAAGAGGTTGCCAATGTATGATAGAAGTAGCGTTAGTAAACTAACACATTTTGTACACTTCGTTAAAATTCATAGAAAGGCTGTCTTCTGAAAAGGGCTTTTGGAAGTAAAATGATAACATCAGCTCTAAGTGACACATGTGCCTATATCCACCAGGTTGGTGGTGGAGATGAGTTAGAAGGAATGAAGGATTCTAGACCAGAATGTTCCTATTTAGAAGACACTTTCAGGTGTAACCACTGTTACAGGTGTGTAGTTTGTTCAACACTACTGTGTACATAGTGGACAAACTTAAGTTCTTATTTGAAACATAAGTCTAGATGTTTAGAAGTGCCCAAAGTATGTTAAAAGCAGAGGTAGTAAATATAGTAGAGGTGGAAACATAGTCTTTCTAGATGTTTAGAAGTGCACAAAGTATGTTAAAAGTAGAGGTAGTAAATAACACATTTTGTAGCTATCCTTTTTATATGAAATATTGTCTTTTGGAAATTGATTAGTTCTCTGAGCAGTACACATTACTATATTTGTGCTGGTTCATGGGGAAGGAGGAGCACAAAGTGCAAAGGGCTTTCTACCAGTGTGTTTATGATGATGCCCATTGACCATTGTCCCTTATGTCTGCATTTTCATTTACTGTGCTGTGTATATAGTGCATATAAGCGGACAAAGGAGTCCTAACTTACATCTAGTGGATGTTAAAGGGTTGCCAGTGTATGACAAAAGTAGAGTTAGTAAACTAATACACTGAGTACACTTTGTGTTAAAATTCATAGGGAAGACGTCTTAGAAACACAGAAGTGAAATTGTTGAAATCCCCCCTAAGCATTACAGATGGCTTATAGCTGTCTATGGGATTGGTAGAGGTTGGAAAGGGAAGGGTTCTGGGCCAGAATGTTCCTATTTAGAAGATATGCAAATTAGAGTCTGTGTTATGTATATATACCATTTATTCAATGCTACTGTGTATATAATGGAAAACTATAGTCCAATTTGAAACATCTAGTCTTTTTAGGTGTTTAAAAGTGCACAACACAGGTTAAAAGTAAGGGGCTAAAAGTAACACCCCTCTCAGCATTTGTTTTCATTACTGCCTAGGAGTGGTTGCATTTGGGAATGGAATTGTTAAACTTGATGCTTAGGAGCATATGCTGACTGTTCATTGGGCGGCGATGGGTTGGGGAGGAGGAGTTATGCAGGGAGAAGGGTTCTGTGCCCATGAGTTAGATTAGTTCAGATGGTCTGACCATTGTTCCATATGTGTAGTTTAATTAATATTGTGTATTAAAGGATAAACAAGTCCTAATGCTCAAAGTATGTTAAAAATAGATGTAGTAAAACAATCCCTTTATAAACGTCTTTTGTTAGTTTTTAAGAAGGTCCGTCTTCTGGGAGTGACATTTATTAGTCCAACTTCTGGAGCTACACGTCCTATACTTAGCCACTGGGGATGGTGGAAGAGGGAGAAGAGGAAGGGTGAAGGGAAGGGCTCTGTGCTAGTATCTCCATATCTAGAAGATGGTTTTAGATGATAACCACAAGTCTATATGAGCATTTTTAGTAAAGTGTTTATTGTGGACAAAGTTCATTATTTTGCAACATCTACACTTTATGGATGTCTGGAGTGACAATGTATGATAAAAACTACAGCTAGTGAATTAGCCAATTTGTAAATACCTTTGTTATAATTGATAGAAAAGATGCATCTTGGACATGGAATTATTAAACCACTTCTAAGCAGTATATGTCAGGACTTGTTCACTAGGTTTGCAGCTGAGGGGCAGAAGGAAGTATATAGGGAGAGATGTATGCAGATGTGTCCATATTTATATTTTGATGATAGCCATTGATGTATGTGAATCTCTTTTGGCTGTACTATAGGAATACATTAAGTAATTCAATGGAAAACATACCTTACTAATATTTCAGTGGTATAGATCTGCTAATGAATTATCTTAGAAACATTATACTTGGTGTATTCTGTTGCTCTGTGTTTCGTTTTAAGTTGAGCATTAAGGGAATGCAGTATTTAAAACGGAACTCTGCCAATGCTTTTATCTAGAGGCGTGTTGCCATTTTTGTCTTCTATGAAATTTTTGTCCCAAGAAAGGCAGGATTACATTTTTTTTAACAGATTGAGTTGGTGTAGTGTATTCTTAGTTATCAAAATACTCATATAGCTTTGGGATTTTGAATTGGTAAATATTCATGATGTGTGAAAAAGCAGGATACATACTGTACGATCTCAGTCCCGTAAAATTGGATGTTGTGCCTACACACCCACAGGACCTAGAAGAACGTGTCAAACTATAAACTGCTTGTGATTGTGAATGACTTTGTTCTTTGCTTTGTGTTTTTCAGTTTCCTATGTTGCACATATTAACTTTTTAAAAATAAAGATTATTTTTAAAACCCATAAAAATTTATTGAATGTCTCCAGTGTCCCAAGCTTTCAGCTGTTTTATTTTCCTATATATTAATTGCATCCAATCATATTTCCCACCAATTTCTACTTTTAAATCAAGAAATTGAAGTTCTAAAAGCTTCAGTACCTTTCCCAAAAATCAAAGAAATAGAAAATACTGGAGTCACAATTTGAAAACAGTCAATTCCAAAGTCAATTAGTCAATCTAACTCCAAAGTCAATTCTTACTGTATTTTATCACACCATCTTTTCAGCAACATAAACAATTAAATCAGCCTTAGTTTAGTAATACTTCTTTATACTACTTTCTTCATCGGAGAGAAAAATGAGGTGCCAACAGATAATTATACATGTGTGGAGATGAGTAGATGTTGCTATGAAATCAAATGAAACAAACAACAAAGAGGCTCATTACACCTTTATCATATTTGTTCACTGAAAACATGTTTGTTGTTTCTGTATTGGTTTGGTTTGGTTTGGTTTGGGGGAGGACTTAGGTAGACAGGGATGATGCATTGGCAACTAAGCTTATTTTTACTGTCGAATTAATCATCCTGGGTAGAATGGTTACTTGAAGAGCTTGTGTCATTATTACTCTAAAGAAAAGTTGCCACTGGGCTATAATGGCTCATAAATTTATTGTATCAACTGGTGTGAAATATTGAGGCATTAATTTAAATATGGCTAAAGTAATAACTGTAATTTTAGGTGAGTTGATATAAAGTTTTGCAACTTAAAACTGGTTCAAACAGGCCCAATAATATTGATATCAGTTAAAATATTTTCTTATAATTTTTGTGCAATTTATAAAGAACTTATTTTATACCAGATTATTAAAATGCCATCATAAACCATTTTTACACACCACAAATTGGATTAATGAACAGCACTGGTTGCATCTACTAAAATGTAATCCCTACAAGGGTAAGAAGTTTTGTCTATTTAATTTCACCATACCATCCCCAGCACTAAGAACGATACATTACACATATTAGCATTTATAAATATTTTTAAATTAATGAATTAATGTGTCTCTGAACTAAATAGTTAATTTCTTTGGGGACTAGTTCCTTTACTTGTTAA